CTCAGCAGCAAATCTTCAACAGAATGGCTTAAAAAGAAAAGAATCAAAGTGTTGCAATGGTCCAGTCCAGTCTTTCCAGACCTTGATAGAAATTCTGTGTTGAGTCATTAAGAGGGACGTGCATAAAAACATGTCTGCAAACTGAAGCAATGCTGTAAAGAAGGGTTGGCCAAAATTCTTCTGAAATGATGCAGTTCCTTATAGGAACTGAAACTAAGATATTTAAAGCCAGGGGGATTTCAATCTCTCTCAATCTGTGTGTGTGTGTGTGCAATATTTTACCTTCTGGGTGTGGCTAAAAAAGGCTAAAGACTGGCAGACGTTTTCACTGTGGAGCCACACTTAGCAGTGACATTAAAAGAACAAGAATACGACAGGCTGCAGTAAGTGACAAGTTAAACCACTACAGGTCTGCAACAATAACATTAATGTCACCTCTTCAAAGCCAGAATACAATTCAATCAGATGACTCAAACACTGGTTGCATATGGTTACCCTTAAAGAAAGTAACTAGAGACAGGCTACATAATTAAATTAAAAATAAGCAGCCTAACAGCAGATTAAGGTCAAACTTTTCATGCTGCTCTTTGACAACAGAAGCTTTTTTCTCATTGTAAACCATTACAATCACATATGGAACACAGTTTAAACATCTTCACATCTTTCTGTTCAACAATATATATATATATACATATAATATACATGAATCCTGATATAAGAATAGAAGTAACTTTACTTATGAATGACAGGATGAGTTAATACTGTATGATTCATAGATCACGACTTTCAGGTCCAATTAGTTACAGAATATTATTGTGTGATTAACGATAGGAAAGTGAAAATGAGTTTCTGTTAAAAGTGTTTTATAAATAAATTTTTATAGAAATGGAAAATACAATTCAGTCTGAGAGTTCAAACACATTTCAGATATTTTAAATCAATTGTTCCCCATAGCACATTGTTTTATATTTTTTAAAACAAAATATAGTCGCAGTAGATTAAAGTCTGAATCGCTCCAGCTGTGTTTATTACAAATTGTCATACTGAGATATGCTCAGCAGTTTAACAGCTCCACAGCTTTCTGTTCAACAACTTCAATATATTTAATAAACTGAATATTTAATGCATTCAAAACACAACTGCATGCAGCAAGTAAATAAATTAAAAGCATCATTATTGAGGAATTGAACTGATGTAGATTAAAATAATATTCATGCTACAACAAAGCATTTAAGGATGCAAACGATTCAAAGGAAGAGGAAGCAAGTTTACTTTTAGTTTCAAAGATGCACGATGTGAAACCAGAGAATATGAACCAACAGCCCACCCCTCGCTCTGATAAAGAGTACTGCTTAGTTTGTCTGATGACTCACTTTGTATCTTTTGGTTTGAGCTTTGACTGTCAGCTTTACGCTCAGTCTGGACTAAAACAACAATGGAGTTGAGAGATGCTGGTTGTCTGTTTATGGGTCTCATCTTTTACATTTCAGGTATCTGAGATTATTTATGAGTTCTTATGTAAAAATCGTTAATTAATATTAACTTAACACTGGAAGTCCCAGGCTTTTCTAACCCAAGTCAGCCAAGTGGACGCTAAATTGGCTAGTCTTTTAGCATCAATTCATATGTAAATTAGGTTGTTACTTGAGACGTGGAGGAGTGGGGGTGTGTATGTTCTAACTGCCAACTGCCTCTTTGTTTGTCCAAAAGTCACCAACTTGGAGTGGTTAGTTTCCTGAGCCACAAGGAAACTTGTGTTT